CTCTACTAAGATGAAATAAAACTAAAGAAACACTAATTTATCTCTACCCAACGAAAAAAATGATTATTTCTGTTAAAATTGAATAAAACTAAACGAATTTTTAAAAAAATGATGTTTTTAAATTAGTATCGAAATTAATCGAAAGGACACTAATTCTCTCTTTACTAGATAACAGAAATGATTGTTTCTATTAAGATGTAATAAAGCTAAATGGGCAATACAATACAAATTGTGGGAAAAGCTTGTTAAGTTCATCAAAGAGAAGAATTGTTGTATATTCGTTTGCCGAACGACTCCGAATTTTTCTAGAATCCTTCTTATTGTTGGACTTTGCTTGTGTCTCTTTTTATTGTTTTTGTCAGCATGTTGTAAATAAGACTGTCATGATATCGATAGCTAAAAGCTCAACGTTGAAAACAGACGTTGATAAAAGAACTAAGAGTTATGATGATAATTTTTTATGCAGAAAACAATGAGACAAAAATTTAATATATTTGAGAACACTGACGAATCCATTTGGAGCTAATCAATATTCTTTCTCAATATAACAGGATAATTTTATGTGGGTTATGAAACGGACGAGAAGGTGTTCTGTATTTTTAAAACTGATTTTTGAATTCACGAGAAAGCATTCGACAATTAGGAGAACGACAGAGAACGCGTTCTTTTCTCCCCAAGAATGATGTCGACTTGTCTGGAACGTGTTCATCAGTTCGAAGAATATATTCTCAAGTATTTCTTGAGAGAGGGTCAAAGAAAGCATTCTCATTTTCATGGAATCCGATCCTGACCGTCCCAAAAATGAACTGTTCAGAAAGCTTTCTCTTCAGATGAAGAACGATTTTGAACCGGGAAGAAACCATCCTATAAAAACGTGGAACGACAAAGAATGCGTTCCTTCAGATGCATAACTCATTCTTGTCGCTCATGAACGCATTCACCAAACTATAGAACGCGTTCTTCATAAGAAAGGTAACTTTCCATGTTTTGCTGAACGCGTTCACTTCCGTTTTTTTCCATGATTATTTTTCACTGGGTACTCCATACTTTTGTTTTATTTTAGTACCAATGTGTGCAAGTTCCATTGATATTCATCCAAATGCAAGATGGTCAACGAATGGTATCACTGTTGCTGGAGGAAATGGAAATGGCAGTCGAACCAATCAACTCTACTCGCCATGGGGTTTGTACGTCGACGACGATCTAACAATTTATGTTACTGATTGGGGAAATCATCGTATTGTTGAATGGAAATCTGGTGCAACGAATGGCACAGTAGTTGCTGGTAGAAATGGAGAAGGGAATGGTGCTCATCAATTAAATGGCCCAAAAGATGTGATTATCGACAAAGAGAGCGATAGTCTCATCATCAGCGATGAAGAGAATAACAGAGTAGTTCGATGGCCTCGTCGAAATGGTACTCGTGGAGAAACAATTATTTCAAATATCTCTTGCTTCGGTTTGACAATGGACGACAATGGTTATCTCTATGTCGTTGACAATGAAAAACATGAAGTGAGACGATATAAAATTGGTGACACTAAAGGAACGGTGGTTGCAGGTGGGAATGGAAAAGGAAATCGTCTCGATCAACTCTCAAAACCCCACTACGTATTTGTCGATCGAGACCATTCAGTTTATGTGTCTGAATGGGAAAATCATCGTGTCATGAAATGGGAAGAAGGTGCAAAACAAGGCATTGTCGTAGCCGGCGGTCAAGGAAAAGGAAATAGTCTTACACAATTGCATTGTCCTGAAGGAGTCGTTGTTGATCAATTTGGTACTGTCTATGTGGCTGATTGTGAGAATCATCGAATCATGCGTTGGTCAAAAGGAGCCACACAAGGAAGTGTCATTATCGGTGGAAACGGTAAAAAAGCACAGTTGAATCAACTCAATTATCCCGTAGGTTTATCATTCGATCGACATGGCAATCTCTATGTCGTTGATCACATCAATCATCGAGTACAAAAATTTAATATCAAATAAATTCAATTCGTATGATTAATTTTTTGTTTCGTTCTCTTTTTTTTCTCTTTCAAATAAATTGTGATTGAATGAAAAAATGCATTCAAATTTATTCTATTCTCGCGCACGCGGGTGTGGGTGTGACAGGACATATTTGAACATCCACACCCACACCCACACCCACACCCACACCCACACCCACACCCACACCCACA